CGGCGAGATGGAACGAGGACCAATCGCGTCATTCCAGGTCAAGTGTACAAGGTTCACGAACATGTCAGATCGCAGAGAGAGACAGCCGCCCCCGTTTCTTGAGCATCCATGCCCCGGGATTTGCGGTATCGAGGGAAGAGGTCGTGTGAGCCCTGGGCGTGTTGTCAGCCACTAGAGGCCGCTGCTTCCGAGAAGCACGCCCCGCATGCCCCGCTATTGAAGAAGCGTCTTAGCGAGATCGCAGGGCCCGATGCTGCGATGAGCTCACCGTTGATGGACTCCCAAGGAAATGGCTGCAGTTGACGGTGCGTGTCGCGCCGTGTGGCGTTTCCGACCTGATATGAACCTGGTGATGCCTGAATGTGTCGACGTAGTCTGTGAGCGCTGTAGGGCACGAACCTACCCCACGAACAGCCCATGGGTGTGGGGACAGCACAGCGCGCCGCAGTGGTCAGGCGACGGAGGCAATCATGGCGTTCACGTACTGCTTCACTAGATCCGGTTGGGGACGGGAAACGGGGCTGTCCGTGTGTCCGACGGACGAGCGCGAAGTGAGAATCCACGCGCGATGGTGCGGGGGTCGTCGCCGTCGCCGTCGTCCGTCCGTCGCTGGCGGTGCGACCAGGCTGAGGACCGATCGCAACCGACGGACGACGGATGTACAGCGGACAACGGGCAGTGGCCTCCGGAACGCGCAACAGGCGAGGCGCAGCATCAACCAGCATCTCCCGTTTCAGCCCTTTTTCGGCCTCAGATAACCTCCGATTACAAACTCGGGCAAGGACACGTAAGGGGGGCTAACCGTGGGAACTCAGGGGGTAAGCCCGAGTTAGAAACGGTTTGAAGCGACGGGATACATGGGGCGAGGGCCGGGCCTAGAACCGGGGACAGGACGTCAAGTTGTACACACTCCCCTCCGCATTTTCCTTCCCTTTCCCTCCCTCCTTCCCGTCTTCTCTCCCCCATCCTCCTCCCCGACCCCCCGACCCCCGTCCCGCCGCCGTGCCCACCACGGATGCTGAAGCTCCAGGTGTCTTCACCGTCGCCGGACACGACTCACCCAGCAACTCCGACATTAGCGGAACTGAGCAGGAATGCCTCCGTCATTTCCTCCTCCTCCTCCTCCAGTTCCATCCACGACCTCGCCCTCCAGACCCCCGTCCGCCCGCGCCCGCTGAGGAACTTCTCCGCACCCCGGACGAACCTCCGCTCGCGCAGCCCCCAATCCCCGACAACTCCCCGCGGCTCGCGTCCGCCCGCGTACTTGACGCGCGAGCTCGGCATCCCGGACGACGACCAGGGCGCGCTCAGGCCGCCCGCGTCCCGCGCGCAGTCCAAGTCTCGCAACAGCTCGGTCAACGGCAGGTTGTCTGCAGACGACTTCGAGTTCTTGGACGAGCTCGGGGAGGGGTCGTATTCCACGGTGCGTCCTGCATACCACCGCGTTCGCCGGTGTTCCCCCTCATGACAGACTCCTCCCCCAAGGTCTACCATGGCCGATTGCGCTCTACGGGGCAGGAGTACGCTATTAAGCGTATTGATAAGGCGCATTTAAAGCGGCACCAGAAAGAGGCGACCGCCCTCGCCGAGAAGAACACGCTTGTCCGCCTAGGATCTGGTCATCCAGGCATCGTGCGCCTACATTGGACGTTTCAGGATGAATGGAGTTTATGTGAGTTTACACTTCCGTGCTCGAATCTCACCAGCATATACGCGCCTTTTATTATCACCACGAGCGCGCGGAACACAACACACAAGGCCCCGTATCGTTCTGGTCTGATATGTTCCGTTTGTTGGCGGTGCGATGCTTGATTCTGCTTTGATTTTGCGATTTTCCACAACACTCAGCTTGCTTCGCTTCACACTCCCATGCTCTCTGCTCATCGAAATTGGCTACTTTGCTATCAGACTCCCAGAAGCTTTTGACCGCTATGTTTTTTCTACCCGTTGCTAACATCTTATGCGCTAGTTTTCGTTTTGGACCTTGCCCGCAATGGAGAGTTGCAGACTCGAATAGCGCGCATGGGCTCCCTCTCAATCGACTGCGTGCGGTATTATTCTGCGCAGATCGTTGACGCATTGGGATATATGCATTCCAAAGGAGTCATTCATCGGTGAGCATTTCTCTTGTCTGTTTCCATCGTCACAATGCTTTCTGTCCCGTAACATGATGGTGCGGAGTTAGTGTGGTCCTAGATGTGCTGAGTGTTCGCCTGAGTTGTCTGTCGCTATCCACAGCCACCCTCTCAGAGGAGCCCCCAATTCTCTGCCGATATACACGCGAGGCAGGAAAGCCTAGACGCACATGCGGACCTTGGAAGATTTACAGCTCGTGGTTTGAGTCATCTTACTCCGCGCGGGAGAGACACGACATGTCCCGGTCTGGGCCCGCACAACTAGGCTTGCCCAGAGGTTGACCTCGGGAACAGGGCGGTTTCTATCCCTGTCGTGCGGGATTGCACTGCTCAGCGAGTAGCTGGCATGCCGTTTCGACGCAGTCTCAGGAGCTTCGGGCCACTCGTCGACTATGTTATTAACCCGCTCTGTTCTCCAGGGATCTCAAGCCTGAGAACCTCTTGCTTGATGACGCTTACCGGATAAAGATCACCGACTTCGGGACGGGTAAGATTCTAGACTCCGGAGGTGGGTGCCTTATTGCTGTCGGCAAGTGCCGTTCACCCAACTTGACGACTCCACAGTGGAACCGACTAAGACATTTGTGGGAACTGCGCAATACGTCTCGCCCGAACTGCTAGAGCACAACGAAAGCAGCAAGAGGTAGGACGGTTATCCTCAATTTACCTCATACGAGCCTGACACGAGGTAGCTCGGACTTCTGGGCTCTTGGGTGCATCATATACCAGATGATCGCGGGACGCTTTGTATTCCGCGGCCTGTCCGACTGGCAGAAGATCAAACAGCTTGAATACTCCTTTCCGGACGGTTTCGACGAACAAGCGCAAGACCTCATCCGGAAACTGCTTGTAAGTGCGAGCCAGTATACCATTGGCACGTATCTGACATCCCGCCGCTCGCAGGTACGTGACCCCAATCAGCGACTAGGTGCTGGTCCACCCGGAAGCCCGTACGACATGCACGCTCTCCGGAGCCATCCGTTCTTCGCATCGATCAACTGGCGCACGTTGTGGACGGATCCTGCGCCTCCACTGGAAGCCGGGCTGGTGAAGAAGGAGCCCATACCGTCGCCGGCGAACTCTGCCTGGGACGCGCTCGTCAACTCGGACAACTACGAGAATGCGATCGACGACGACGAAGACGACGAGGTGAGCTGGGCCTCCGATGGCGAGGGCGCCCAGCCCAACTCCGGTGCGACCCAACCGAACGGCCACCACGCGGAGCCGGAAGGCCCGTTAGGCGAGAAACGCCCGTCCCTACTGCCGCCGCTTCCTCTTGCGAACGTGGAGGAAGAGCGGAGCGGGTCGAGCGATGGCGTACGCTTCATAGCGCCACCGAAGTCGGATAGCGCGGACGCGGAGGACGAGGGCCGAGATACGGTAAACGACGACTTGGAGACGTTTGGGCTCTCTCGCTCTCCGCCGATTGACGTCCCGCGTGTCCCGGGACCTGGCTCGCATTCCACGGGGTCCATGACGAGCTCGTCAGACGGGAGCCCGGTGGACAAGCTGGCTGCTGCGATGGACGAGGCGGCGCGAGGGCGGAATCGCGCACAGACCCCCATACAAGGCAACGGGCTCTGTGATCCGGAATTGTGAGTATCTCCAGTTCCCCCTGTATCGCTTGGGGTGCTGACTGTTCATTTAGAACTTCGTTGATGCTTCCTGGAGAGCAAATCATTTTCAACACGACGGTCGAGCCCGGGGGACCGAAACGGCGGGCGAGCCGGCTGCTCGCGATGGCGGTTGCTCCGAAGAAGCATCGGCCGCGCGAGCTTGTGCTGACGTCGCAGCGGCTGCTGTGCGTCAAGCAGAAGCCGGGCCGAGCTGTGCAGATACGGACGGAGCTGTTTGTGCGCCCGTCGGACAAGGAGAAGGATCTGCGCAACCTCGTTTCGTCCGTCGAGCCGAAGGGCGAACGCGAATTCGTCGTCATCACGGTCAGTGCGCGGCGAACTCAAGGCGGCAGCGTGGAGCCTGACTGGTCGTCTGTACAGCCGATCAAGTCGCACTGCTATATCGCCGCCAGCGGGTCCATTGCTTCCATGTGGATCCGCAAGCTCCGGGAGGCCATTGAGGCGCAACCACCCATCTCGAACGGCATTAGCGGGCCATATCCTGCGGGCCGTCTTCGTCAAAACTCACGGACATGAATACTTCTTTCTTTTCCCTTGGATCTCCACACTCCGCTTTCTGCACCATGTACCACCAACACACACTCTTCCGGGGTTGCTTTGGCTTACACGTATCATCGGGTCTTGTTTTCTTTCGCGTCTCTCTTTCTCTGTGTCTCAGCGCACCGGACATTCATGTCGATATCAGCCCGCGTGTCGTACGATAGCCCTCCATCGACCGCGGACAGGCTTGCACATACACTGACCCTTACACATTATCGTATTTACGACTTAACGCTGTTGCCCATGCACGCTGTACGATAGAAGTAGCTTACATATGCACAAACAATGGATCGGTTCCAAGGATCATGCTATGCTATGCACGCTCCACTCCGCCGAGCGAACCTGACCGGTTTTCACATGCGAAACTGCTGTGCTCGCACTCTCGACTTCTATTCTCCCGGTCTACTCATCTTCGCGGCCATACTGTTGCCAGTCATTCCGCTCGCAAGCCAGGAATCAATAGGCCACGGCACCGTCAATGGTCGCAAAGACTACAACCGCAACTTGACGATGATTAATTTACACGTACGACCTCTGGTTGTCCCAATAGGTTCGTCCCAGTCTGTCGCGTTTCCAGGCGTTTGGACACAGATTGCAAGCCCTCGGCGTCAGCTGCTGGGGGGTACAGTGAACTGTGAAGTACCGCCGCCGATCGAGTCCGCATTCCTTGGGTGGGGCAAAAGCAATTAGCCCACCGCGAGGGTCGAACTCGCAGCCTTCAGATCACCAGCTTTAAGAGTCTGACGCTCTATCCGATTGAGCTAGGCGGGCGATAATGTAATTATTTGTTGATGTATATATATTAAGCGTCAACTTCTAAGGGATGCTACGATAACTCTCCAAAACCAAACACCTACACGGCCGCACAACCATTGACTGAGCTCCTGCCGAGTGTCAAGGCCCAAGACCTGATGAGTGTATACGTTACATATACACTGAGTGGCCGCGTAGACGAAGGCTCAGCGCTCAGCCTTCGACGGAGTTGGGAAAGGGCCTGCATGAGTTATCTGGGCTTGCTCCTTGTATGGTTTTGGTTGTAGACTCTTGCCATTTCAAAAAGACTGGGACCTTATATATTGCGGCCGTCGAGGGGTTGCGGTTTGTTTGAAAAGTCTTAGTCTTGTCCCACTGGGCATTGGACGAGTCGAGTGGGCGAAGCCAGCAGCTCTACACTCCGGTCCCAGAGTGTGGCTATGCCAGTCGCGTGTCATTTCCCCCCCTGCCATCTTCCTTGCCCCTGCTCGGTGAGCTCGCCCACATGGCATAACGCTAATTCTCTCTAGCTTCTGACTGTAACACAAGGATTGTGCAGTCTCCTTGGCGGTCACTGAACATGCGGTGGCTGCCATGGGTCCTCTGCCTTCAACATCACCGGGCGGCGAGAGGTCTGCAACACTTCTGGCTTGTGCACTGACGTCTTGCGCTTGGCTTTTGAGGGCTTGTCTTTGGCTATGATGATACGTCAGCCTCAATGACGAGAGTGACCTACTCCAACTGTTCTCCCGCACGATCAAGGGCTCTCCAGAGTTGGGTGCGCTTGTCGAAGAGATGGAAATCTGTGTGAGCAGCGATGATCTTGACTCTGTCCAATGGTCGGACAATGATTGCGACTGGCGCGGGGTATTCTCTCTGCTTGCAATCCAGACGCTCCGCAACATGGAGGGCCTCTACCCGTGGCAATCTGCCTATACACCGGCCTCTATCAGGAACCTCACAGTTGCCTTTGGTGTTCTGGAATCTCTTACAGCTCTGCTCTTGGACGGACACACGACCGAAAGAGCCAGTGAGGTTGTATCCGCGGCCAGTCATTTTTCTCGGTTGCTGGTTCTTTGCCTTGCAAACTGCGACTGGGACATCGGCGGTCGAGAACCACAGACTTCTCTCGCGAGCTCACTGACCAAGATCGATGCGAGTCGGGCACTGCCACGCACAACATGGTTGACACTGACTCGGCTGGCATGGTCGATCCTCGACAGCTGGTTGCCAACCACCAGAACAGCATCATACTGCAGACCTTGCCAACTACTGTCACGACGCTGAAGCTCGGACCGCGCATGGATCAATAGTATTCAGCTGTATCGTCGAGAACTATCAAGGTCAAGCGTGATCTCCACCGTGTAAATGATCGTAGACGGCTCATGTTCTACTATATCATATGCAGTGCTCAAGCACTTTGCGTCTCTCACCAACCGGGAACTCGTCATGCACATGATCGGGATGGCTCGACACGGCGCTCTCTCACATCCGCGCGCCAAAGCTTCGGACGTCGGACGTGGAATTTCTCGGGGAGGAACCGGGGTTTTGCGCCAACGACCCGCAACTGTCTTACGAACAGATTGTCCACGACAAATAACTACTGGCCTTGGACGGCAGTCTGGCGGGCATGGGGACGTTCCAGTTCCTCCAGAAGATCTCCATCGGCCTCAAAACCGCAGTGGAGATAGGCGAGGCCACCTCGACTTTCCTCGATATTGTGTCCGCCAAGCAGGTTTGGGAGGATTACGTCTCTACCTCAATGCGCCTATGCAGAAAGCGGGGTGTGCCTGTCGACTGCCATGTGGTAGTGATGAATCAAATTTTGGGTGGTTGAAGGTACATTTACGCAATGCATATACTCACCTACCGGCCTGACATTGTTTCATTAGGCGTGCCCGCAACGGTAGACTATTGACATGCACCGGTTCAAAACCGGGAACCGCATCGGACTGTTGGTAATGAATAACGAAAGAGCGCATTCTCGAACGGACAATCCGAGTGTCCCGGTGTGACTGACAATCATGTACACAACGCGCCTCTCTCTGCCAGTCATTCATGCCATATGCCCCAAACAGATCCCCCTAATAGGACGTGTGCACGTATGTGTCGCGTTCCTCTAACACGCCGGTAGACTGGGGCCCTACTAGGCCGCATGCCCAAAACGCCGTCTAGCAGTCGTACTGACGCCGACCACCACCACGACGCTCGCTCCGGTGAGGCCCGCAAAACGAACCCGAAGCGCCGCGGGCGCAAGCGCGACGGCCGGCGCCGCTCTACACGACGAGGCCGGGAACAGACCCGCGCCTGCGGGCGCCGCAGTGCCGAGTCTGTGCTGGGGCTTGGGGGCGCGGGGCTACCGCGAAGCTCAAGGCCACACACAGATGGACACGTGCAGGGCCGAGGACGGGGGCGCGCACGAGTCACCGTCGCCGGGGCCGAAGAAGCGGGTCGAGAGCCCTAGAGCGTGTGCGTGCAGATACCCAGGTTGTGGCGGCTGCAGCGCCGATGCCGGGGGCGGCGTCGGGGCACCTACCCCGCTACGCGCGTGGCCGCACTCTGCACTCTCGGACGCGGGGAGCGAGGGAGTTTCGTCCTCACAAGGCGCTCCCGAGCGACGCACCAGGTCGCGCATGAGCAGTCATACCGACGAATCCATGGAAAAAACAAGGCACTCGCTCAGAGACTGAAGACGCACGCAACTGCACAAGAAGTACATTAGACCGACAACATGCGCCGGCGGATGTTCCGTGGCGCATGGCATACACATCATGCCTCTCAAAGCCCGAGGTGCCAGCACGAGAACCAGTTGAGCCGGACCCCACATTGTTCAACGGGTGTCTCGATCCCGTCCATGTTAGACAGTAGAAAACATCACTCTCATCCTACTAATATAATCAGCCAAATGTCCGTTGGCCTACCCATACCCCACACCCCAGATATAGCGCTCCCCATTCAGCGAACCCAGCCCCTAACTCCCTAGAGCTGCTGTTGTGGACGCATACTGGGCGCCCACGCACCCACATCCCACCAGGCCCCGCCCCGCAGCCCCACGGCTATTGCGCGCGGACGACGTCCGCGAGGCCGGGGACCGCGCCAAGGCTCTCGACGCGCGCGCCCTTGGCCGCGCTCTCGGACGCGAGGAGCGGGGAGACGTCGAGCGCGGCGTACGTGCCCCACACGCGCTCGACGCGCCGCGCCGGGAGCTCCTCCGCCGCGCAGTTCACCGGGTCGCAGACGAGCAGCCAGATCGCGTCGTATCCGCCCGCTGCGCAGCGGGCACGCACGGAACGGTGTCAGCACGGTGCGCGCGCGGGGGGAGAAAGGGGGCTGCGCACCTCCGGGGACGCCGCCACCGATGACGCCGGCGGCGGAGATGCAGGCGTCGAGGAGCGCGGTCTGTTCGGGGGGCTCGATGGGCACACCCGCGCGCTCGCCCATGGTGCGCATGTTCTCACGGATACCCTATAGAACGCACGTCGAGTTAGCACTCCCGTTGAGGCACTTCGCACGCGGGACAGACCTGGGAGAGGGTGTGCGCGTCGATGAAGCCCTCGATGACCTCCTTCATGGCACTGTGGTGCTCGTTCCCGGCAATGTTCGGGTTCGCGAGCCACTTTCAGAGGCAAAGATGTCAATACCAGAACCAAACTAGATTGTAGCACGGCCACGAGAGCGCGGCAGACAGACCTGAACGCTCTGGATGGTGGATATGTACTTGACCGATTTGCGGTACGCTTCCGGGTTCTTCTCCGCGACCGCGGAGAGCTTGAGGAGTGTCTTGCTAAGCGTTTGGTTGAGGCTGTCGATCGTCCCCCACAGCTGCTTCGCTAGCCGTCGCAGAATCCTTTCAGCCCGATGAATTTGATTACATGCGCGGAAAGATATACCTTCTTCGCTGTTTTCTTTCCGCCATTTGAGCACCTTGCCCACTAGCGAAGGAGTATCGCTGCCCGCGTCGACGTCTGCTAGCATAAGCCGCGTTTGAGGAGGGAGCTTGAAAGGCTCTACCCGGTGGTTCCACGCAGGATTTGAGGGTGAGAGGATAGGGTGAAGGGGTTGACTTGACTTGATGGCGCGACGGTGAGCTACGCGTTCGCACCCGAATGGCAACGAGATCACCCACAGCATCATCGTGCATGAGCGGCGCAAGCACCGCGGGATCGAAGCGCGTGTACAGCTGGCTGCCGAACACCGCGGCGGAGACGTCGAAGCCGCTGCCGACCTTGCCCTGCGCGAGGCAGTGCACGTACTGCGCGAGGTTGTGCGCGAGCTTGCGGCCCGCGCTCGCGGACGCGGTCCCGCCTTCTGTTGCGAACGCGTCCACGGGGATGACGTGCAGGTGCAGGAGGAGGGCGGAGACGAGGGAGGTGATGAGCGCGGCGGATGATCCGAGGCCGGTCTTGTGCACGTCGGGGAGGCGGACGCGGGTCGTGTTGAAGTGCGGCAGCTTCGCGAGCGAGTCGAGCGTGGGCGGGAGGTTGTTCGCCGCAAGCTGCGAAAAGTGGTCAGAGGTCAGGAATTGCCCACGCGAGGGGTGTCTGCTAGCGGCACGGGTGCGTACCTGTGCCCTCTGGGAGTAGAAGTCGTTGTCGCCGACGATGGTGATGTCGAGCCCGTACTCGAGCGTGTTTTGGAGGGTGCCGACGCTCTTGAGCTCGGCGGCGAGCGCGAGGGTGCGCTGGAGGGCGAGGTGGACGAACTTGTTCTTGCTCGCCGCGCCGTGCGCACTGGAAGATCGGGGCGTCAATTCGGGCGATCAGACATACACGCGCTAGCGCCCAAATGTGGCACGACAGGTCGACTGCAGCTACTGCTCTACTGTGTGCAGGACGCGGCGGGCGCACTCACTTGTCGGCGAGCTGCTCGACGCGCACCGCGCCGGGGCCGTCGAACTCGACGATGTACAGCCACGTCGCGTCGAGGAACTGGGGCGATCGGACGCGGATGTGGATCGGGCCATCGCCGCCGGGCGCGGGGGGCTGCGGGAGGCTGCCGACGACGGTGTAGAAGCGGGA